CCTAGCTTTTGTGGTTCCCGAGTTGGAAGTTGCGGACAAGTTGCTGCGGACACACACACACACACAGACAACCCCTTCCAATATGCATTTTGTACTGCTGTTACACTGCACAAAACGCATAAAAAAGAACGGCAGAAGCAGTGCGAACGCGGCGCAGTCAATGAGGCAATGTAGTGGGGACGCTGTCCACGCATTGCAAGGGCAGTCGATGAGCGGACACAGTGAACCACTGTGCACTTGGGGGAGGGATCGTCGTATTGTAAACTCGCTACGACAATACTGAATACAACAACACACGCCAAAGCAGGCAAAAAAAGATATAGATCACTTACACCTCCTACCAACACGGGAGTCGCACATCACAGCTTTTCAGCTTTGCTTTTAAATTTTTGAAAAGTTTTCCCACCAGTTTTCATGCTTCACTCATCCGAGTTCATTTTTCTTCCATTTTTCTTTCGGCTGAATCTATCATTTTACACGCAAGTAAAATAAATTTTCATATTTTGCCCGCTACATAAAAAGGTCCTTTTAAAATTCTTGGTTAAAGATTTGTTAAAAAATTTTTATAAATCTTTGTCAGTTCAAATCCAAGCAATTTCTCGTCCACTGGCTGTTGATCTGCTGCCATTGGCTAGGCCAAAGGCGAATGGAATGTTGGAGCTTGTTTTTATTTCTTCATGTTTTTCGCTGCACGGCGTTGTAAAACATGCACTATGTTTTTTTTTTTTTGCATGCGTGACTTTTACTATGTAATCAGTCGCTGATCGGAGGTTCAAATCTATTTAAGCTCAACGGGACTGAATAGAACTCGATTTTTTCCACACATTTTTATGCGTTTTGTGCTGTATAACAGCTGTACAAAACGCATATTGTTACGGGTTTGTCTGTGTGTGTGTTTGTGTGTGTGTGTCTGTGTGTGTGTCCGCAGCAACTTATCCGCAACTTTCAACTCGGGAACCACAAAAGCTAGGAAGCTGAAATTTAGGGGGGGCGTTCCCCACCCACGTGTAACCTCGCAAATTTAAATTCAGCTTCCCCGTACCCACAGGTTACACGTACGGCCCCGTGGAAAGTTTTTTACGGGTATATTAATATCTCGGGAACCACGGAGTCTAGGAGACTGAAGTTTTAAGGTAATGACCCCCTGCCTATGCTCAACCTTGCCCATTCAAATCCAGCGTTCCCGCACTCTCGAGTATCACCTACGGGCTAGTGAAAGTTTTTACGGGTAAATTATTATCTCGGGAATCACGAAAAGATATTCGCCCTTTAAGGTTTCGAATTCAGCTTTCATGCGCTGGTGCGTGAAATTTTTAACTATTTTCCAAAATATGAACTATTTTTGCACAGACTAAAGTACGAAGTAGTGAAAATTATCAATAGGCAATCGTTCGATGGGCTGAATTACACAAAACGCATGATCGCACCGGTTAGTCTGGCGCGCGATGCTATTTATTGAAGCTGCCACGCACTCCACCATATCACTATACTGTTTATTGCAAAGCACGTTGGGCTGCTTGATAGCTGCAAACATTTCGAGAAGAAACTGAGCCTCTTTTTCACATTGCCACATAACAGTGATATACTAGGGTTCCGGGTTTTATTTTGAATAATAATGCTATTGGTGTGTATTTTGTTATTGTTGCTGTTGTGCACCATGATTTATTATTTTTGTGATTTTTCAAATAAAATTTTCGCCGAACTTGGATTAACTTTTAGGGATATTACGTACAGCTATATCGGGTGGACTTGGCGGTGTAGCATTATGGACTGCTATATATCCATTTGACGTAGTAAAATCGCGAATGCAAATTGCTGGCTCAGGAAGTTTCACTCACATGTTAGCGAGTATTGCCAAAAATGAAGGTTTTTTTTTAAGTTTTGTTCAAATTTTACATATGGATGTTCGCATATTTATTGCAACTTACGATCAATATGTCCCTGTCAGAAGCGTTTTCCTGAGAGTAGGTCCTACCTGGCTTAGCCAAATAGAAAATCTTACGAGTGGCAGCGATAAAGGCAGCAAATTTTGCTGTAATTTCAGTTCCAGCAGGTCCTTCTCGATGCACGTCTAAGAACAAATTTTGTGCCTTTTCTTTGTTCTGAAAGTTCGTACGTGTACCCTTAATTCCTGCAGGTTCTCTCTTACTACAGGAGCTTGGTTTATGGTAGTAGTTCGTGTATTTTACACCGTAAATCGCACCCACTTTGTTATAGCGAATTAATCGAGGGATGAATTTGTTGTCCTATGCAACACTCAGCACTTACAGGTATCCGTACCTTGTATAAAGGATTAACGTTTTCGCTGGTTCGGGCATTCTGGGCGACTG